ACACACACACACACACACACACACACACACACACACACACACACAGGTAGATTGACATTAGAGTAAAACCAATCCCCAGGTCTCTCCTATGGAATACTAATATGGCTGCCCTTGCCAGCTGACCTCTTATAGGCCAAACAGGCTGTCTGTCAAACTAATGGGGCGGAACGCTGGCATATTGCTTTCCCACAATCCCTCAGCAGAGCCAGGACACTCATTTACTTCAGTCAGCTTGTTGCCAAGGCAACATTTAGGATGGGTCTGGTGCTGGATGCACGCACACAAATGCACACTGCTTCACACACGCAGTTGTATGTTATGCACTCGTATACACACAAACTTAAACATGCATTGCACACAAACACCCAGCAACCTGTTATGTGCTACTATGAACTTATCCGCACAAACACGGCTGATGCTAAGAGCGATGGAACAGGTGAATTTATGTATGCAGCTCAGACACTGACAGCACTGTCTGTATGTGGAAGGTACACTAAGTGCTCTTTGCCTCTCGTCTCATCTCCGCGCCCCATCTTCTGGTCTCCTTTATTCACAATTTATGCTCTCTTGTTCACTTGTTCTGAGAGGTAAGCAGACAAGCTTGTCCTCCGTCTGAATTTTCTCCTCATCCAGACAAGGGGGAAGTGGAGAGGGGGCTGCAAACACATGGGGACCACAGCTGAGAGACTTCCAGAGCAGGGTATCAAACCCCCATTCCCATTCTGGAGGTTTGATTAAAGATGTCAGCACATATAAATTCAGTGTGGCTTTTTAGCTCTGCAAGAAATCTAGTGTGAGAGGATTTTGTTCTTTTTTCCCCAACCAAATTAAAAAAAATGTAAGTGGATGAAATTTTAATTGGGATCGTGCTCATCTATTGTGTGCTGTCTGGATGTCTTAAAACATCTAAACCAATCATAGAGAGGCACATCGTGGCTGGTTCACATCCTGTGCACTCTGTCCCCACAGACCCAGAACAGGCTCTTTGATAGCAGCTGCCTGCGTTTGTAACTGTGAGTCTCTGTTTGATCAGTAAGTTGTTATTATACAACTACAGCACATCATAGCAGGTGAGGGGTTGTAGCAAGTATGACTTCAGATGTGCTGCTGTGACGGGGCTTAAAGGATAGATTTAGATGTCTTCCGGCCTATCTTAATACAGTGCCTGTTTGCCATATGAGTTATTGGTTCATTCTACCTGTTCAAGGCTGAATAACCAACCATGCAGAGCAGGCAACTGCCACAGTACCCCAAAACCTCCAGTGTTGTTAGTGTAACTTGTGTTTGTGCATTCAGCACAGCGGCTACAGGCTTTGTAGCTAAGCTGTAGCTGACATGAGCTGCCCACAAAATGTAACAACACGTCGGGGCTAAAGCAGCTACAGAGACAGCACGTGGGCCACAAGAACTATGATTGGTCAGTATGGACTGCTTGTGTTATCTCCTACAAGTTTCTGATGCCAGTAGAGATGTTAATAGTGAAGTCAATGTTAAATACGTTGAAGAAAGACTCACATTAACACACATCTAAAAAGCCATCTCCACTGTAAACCATCTGCTAGCTGCGATCATGGCACAGAATTTTTTTTGTAGTTTCAGTTTTGGGCTTACAAGTTGCATATTTCTAAATTAATTTGTGTTAAAGGTCCACTGTGTAACATTTAGGAGGATCTATTGTTGGAAGAAATTGAATATAATCATAATTATGTTTTCATTAGTGTATGATCACCTAAAATAACAATGTATGTGTTTTTGTTATCTTCAAAGGAAAAAAAGGTTTATTTCTACAGACGCAGTGGGTCACCTTGAATGGAAGCCGCCATGTTGAACCTCCATGTTTCTACAGTAGCCTAAAACAGACAAACCAAACGCTGGCTCTCGATAGGGCTGTTCGCATTTTTCGCACATTTTACGTTTCTCCTTCGCGCTTGGAAAGGGGAGGGTTTGGCAAGACTGTTGCAATCTGCAACTACACCTCTAAGTGCCACTAAATCCTACACACTGGTCCTTTAAATCAAATTATCACTCAGTAAATATGGGGCCAAGTGGTATTTCAACAGTGGTATTTCAATTCTGTTCAAAGTGTACAAGAACTGTACACACTGAACAGATATTGGGTGGAAATGAGGGTTAATGGGGGCCATGTTCCTATCCCGACTGGCCACTTCACATTGTGATAGCACTGTCAAAGATGGCACTAAATGAGAGATTTTAAACTATTATGTTTACAGCTGTAACATACATACTGTGGACCAACCTGTCAAAATGTAACAACAACTTCTATAGTTCAGCTCTCAATGAAATAGGACATTGCTGTTTCTCTTGAAATGTGGTAAATAGGTTCAGCCTCTCATCATCCCAATAGAAAACCTTTACATTTTACTGATGGCTGATGACATTTCTGTGCAGGTCACAAACCTGTGGAAAAACTCTTCAATGCACCACACATCCCAAAGGTACATACTAACATATGGGCGGGTCGTTCCTTAATCAGAAGGTTGTGGGTTCGATCCCTGGCTCCTGGTGCCACATGTCGAAGTATCCTTGAGCAAGATACTGAACCCCAAATTGCTCCCGATGCCGTGCATTGGTGTGTGAATGTGTATGTATGAATGTTATGTTATGTTAGTTTCTGTCCGATGGACTTTGCGATCACTGTGTGAATGTGTGTGAAAGGGTGAATGTGGCAGGTAGTGTAAAAGCGTTTTGAGTGGTCGGAAGACTAGAAAGGCGCTATACAAGTACAGGTCCATTTACCATTTACATATGGTGACCTAGAGGAAGAACCAAATGCAAAGTGTGAGTGCTGCTCTAGCAATTTTATTGGCATTCATTCAAAAATCAAACTAACATATATATATATATATATATATATATATATATATAAAGCTCATGGTAACCTCCAATCATCTGGGTTTTCTTTTCTTTTCTATTGAGAAAATCAATCAAAGCAGTGAAACGTTGAAATGGCAGATAAGCTTTGGAATATATGAGCATCTGCAGCCACTGGACATAAAAAAAGGTTAATTTCCTGCCCTTGAGTTTGTTGTTGATGCACTGCCTGAGCTCAGCACTCCTCCAGATTGAAGTGCGAAAACAATGTCGGCAGGTGTGCGTTTGATCTAACTGAATGACATTTACCCAGGTACCCTTGAGACAGAGTAGTAAAGCACTGTAAAGACCTTTTGTTGCCTCACCTCTGATGAAAAAAACAACTCACTAAAGCTGAAAGAATGCTTGGTTACTGTGTGATGTCTTTGAATGGAGGTTTATACCTAAGGATGTGTGTGTGTGTGTGTGTGTGTGTGTGTGTGTGTGTGTGTGTTTTCCACTCAGCTCCACTCTTGCGTCTGTCTGTTATCTATTGGACCTCCATTGCGTTCATCTTTCTTGTCTTCTTGCTCTAACCAACGTCTCCCTCCCATCTCTCTTGTTTGTTCCATTCTTTCTCGTCTCTACCCTTACCTCTCTCTCTCTCTAATTAACACCTACTGTAGGCTGTATCTGCCTTAGCAAACCCCCAAGGACAGAGCTGGAAAGAAAGACAGAGAGATGGAAATAAATACAGTAGGAAAGAGATGAGAGAAATCAACTGAGCAAGAGGGAAACTGGTAGAGAGTGACAGATAAAAACAGACACAGATTAGAAAACAAAAAAAACAGAAGGTGCTTGATGAATAAGTAGACCCCTCCAGCCAGTCGGTGAAACTATTAAAAATGAAAACAGATGTTTTGGTCAAATTTAACTGAATGAAAAATTCAAAATAACTAAACCAGAGCGAACAACATAAATATGCTTTTCAGAGGCACAAGTGCACACAGTGTGACACGTACACACATTCTCGGCCTCTCTAGAAACCATCTGTCTTTGTAGAGCCATCAGAGACTTGAGGACAACATCAAATGATGCTGTAGATCTCGAGGTGCTTGACTGCTTGTGTGTGTGTCTGTGTGAAGCCACAGGACACAGGAGTGTGTGTGCAGGCCATTTTTATGATTTGAGGCTCAGCTGGTGTATATCAGTAAGGGTGGAGCTTGTCTGTGTGTGTATGTGTGTGTGTGTGTGTGTGGATGCTGAGGACTAAGAACACTACGGCCAAACAAATTCTCTTTTAGAGGCAGGCAAATGCACTGCTTTGACCTGACATACGAATGCACATGCGCGCGCACACGCACGCACGCACGCACGCACGCACGCACGCACGCACGCACGCACGCACACGCACACACACACACACACACACACACACAGGTGCCACTTGATATGTCACCATGGAGACTGGAAAGCAAAAACACATGCATGCAGACACACACATACAAATTGGAAGGTTAAAAATGGCAGCGTTGGCAAGTGAGTTGGTCTGAAAGGCCCAAATAGAGAAAAAGAAAACAACTACAGGCAAACGCAGCACCCAAATTTGCAAGCGTTAACAAACACATAAACACACACACACACAGGTGGAATGGAGTGTGTGCGTACATGTTTTAGTGAATGCTGCTGCCGCATTAGTTGTACAGATTTATTACAAGTATCGATTGAGCACGGACGTCCAACATCACACGCACGAGGCAAAGTACTGAGTCAACAATACACTGAAAAATGACTGTTTATATCCACAGCACTTCACACCCATAAATTATGAACTATCGACTTTGCACCTGGGCGCACACACACACACAGAAACATGGGCAGACAGACACACACAGTGCAGCATGCAAACGCACCGTGAACACCTGCCACAACAAAGAGCTACCTGCTACCAAACACAAAGACAAATCCAGACACACCACCCATATGACATAAAGCACTCACACACAGACACACTCTGCAGCTAGTATATTGCTGTACTCTATCATCTGATTAAAAGAACAAAAATGTTTAAATGATTTGTTGTCCAGAGAGGACCATTTGCACCACAAAGCTGCACTATTTATAACAACACGTAGCTTGGCAAGCAAACAAATACACAAAACCAATGGATCAGACAGGTTGTGGCTTACCTCCACCTCCGCCGAGAAGAGTCTTGTTGGCTGAAAGAGACAAGAAAGAAGAAATGTTAATGAAAAAAACATCCCTAAAAACATCTCAAGTAGAGCTGGAACAATTAATGAATTAATATGGCTGTATGGCTGTATAATATTCTCTGGTCCCAGCATCTTAGATGTTGCTTTACATTTGTTTAAATTCAAGATCTGTGGGTCCAACAAAACAAGGCATTACAAGACGTCACATGGGGTCTGAGAACTTGTGATCTGCATTATTTACATACAATCTGTGAATTTATTGAGCAGTACATAAATAAAAGTAAATTTTAGTTGCAACCTTAACATTAGTAGTTTTGGTTCTCACTACATCCACTCTGTGTAAATAATTTTTCAAGTCAAAAATAACAAACAAACTTTTATAATAATAATAATAATAATAATGATATTTAATTGTAAATACAAAATTTTGGACTATTGGTCAAACAGAACAACTCATTTGAAGACCTTATTTGGACTCTTAGAACTTGTGATCATTTAAGACTTTTATTAACTGAATAAATAATCAACAGATGAATCAATTGTTAGTTGAAGTCAACGTAGAAACTAACAGAATATGCAATATTGACCTATACTGAATCCAAGGTAACATCGGTAGTGCTTTGTCTGCAACAGAGATATCACTATTTCTCTCCTTCTAATCAGTGTAAAACCAACCTTTGTGATCATAGAGATTGAGCTCTGCACTACCTTTCACACAGTGTTAAAAAAACATTCGTGACTGCATTTATTAACAGTTGAGGTCAGAACATTTATTCATTTGCACTGTGTGTGTGGGTGTGCTGTTCAGAAACTCTGATCTCCTAAGACTTAATAAAGGTTTATATTTAATTGGATGAACTTCTGTGTACTAAAATAACTTGAGGCTTTTGCTTGGGGGAGAAATGCATCTCCACATTTGTCCTTCAAAACATAATTTGTTATTGGTGTCAGCATTTCTCAACAAGAGTGGTTCTCAATCCAAGTCCTCTGGGCTCTCAGTGCTGCTGGTTTTGCCAACCGGCGAGTTAATTGCACTCACCTGGCATTGCAGGTGTAACTCAGTCCCTGATTAGATGGATAGAATAAGAACCAGCAGGCTCTGAGTCCCGTCAATAAGGACCGAGAAGCGCTGCACAGTTTCACTGCCTGCAAAGCTAATGAATAAACTCATGCTGAGCCTACAGTCCAAAGGAAAATAAACAACTCTGTAAGAAGAAACAAGCCAGCAATATGGTTCAATATGTCTTTCACTTATGAAAAAAGTCAATCATAGAGCCCCTTTCCACCCGGATAACAAGAAGGTGACTGTAGTTTCAATAAAATAACAATAGAAGGAGATCTTTTTCCAGCGGGGCAAGTAGAGAATTAGTGCTGGTAGCCTGGCTGACCAGTGAGTCCCAAATCATTACCTTCCCCACTTGAATCAAGTCACTGCACATGTTTTAAAGAGTGTAAATTGCTGGCAGGGTGATAATGCTGGCTGCCGCTGCTTCTGACATATGCAATATGCAAGTGTTTCTCTCACCCGCATATCCATGAACATGTGGAGTCAGCAGTGCTAGCCCAGGGACATCTGCAGCGCTTCCACAAAACTCTAACCTGTCCACAAACTCATAAAAACCATGTTTTCCAATTCTTTCTCTGCCCGTGGATTCAATTTTAGTTGGTGTGACCACGTTAGGAAAATCTGATAAGCACATAATCTCCCTCCAACCATTACAAAGTTACGTCAGAACACACAGGGGATGTCTCTCATTTTAGTTACTCTTTGCCAGTAGGCATTGTGCCAATTGGGTACACACTCAGATAGTGTATAAGGCAAGTTGGTTTTACAGAGGGAAGTACAGAGACCAAATCCCACAGCTGTCCTTCTCTCTCAAGAATCCTCTTCTTTTCGACATTTTCACCTTCCCCCACTGCCTCATTAATGCTAAATCCACTTAATTTCAGCCTTTAAACACACTATACTTCTCTGTATATGGGAACCACTGTCACACTAACATTTCCCAAAGTGAATATCTCGACTCTCTAATTTGAAAATGTGCAGCTCCAAACAGCATGAACAGAAACAAGGCAGTTACTTAATGTGACAGTGTGAGACTATTTCAGGTGCACAGCTTGTTTAAGAGCTGATAGATCTTATGGTGAACTAAAATAATGCTCATTCGGATGTAAAAGCTCAGACAAATAAAATGTCTCCATTAAGCCTCCAATTCATCCTCTGCTGATTAGCTGCAGGCTGTATATAAGAGTGATATCACACACTGGCTCTTGTTAATACTCGTCCATGTTGACTAACATGCCCCAGGCCATATAAGTACTAGAACTGAGTGGTGAAAGGTTTCTTTTATAAAGAAAGACAAATCTGCCTGAAGAGAGATGATCCAGCTCTGACCTTGAGAAATGGACTGAAACCACAGTTATAATTGTGTTGTTGGTGGTAGAATGGACAGCTGAGCCCAACTGAGACACCAGGATGGGGGTGCACTATGATTTGTAAATCATGTAAGTTTGTATCTGTAAAATCCTCCCTCAGTTTTTAAGAAAAAACTTAAGAAATGTCTCAGCTAGTGAGACTCTACCCATGTGTAAACTAGATACTAGGAAACATCTGTTATGCCGTTAAATTGTTCTTATACTCTTCAATCTTAACAGGTCATGTATTGGCAAGCTAACATTAGTTTTGTGTGTTGGTTCAGTTAGCTATGCAACTGTTACACCTGTCAGTTACTGGGTGTTAATGTTTTGTAACCACTAATCTTCACGTAAGAACTAGTTGTAAAGAGTTGTAAAAAAGATTACTTCTTTTATTTTATTTAACCCCCATTGCAATTTTACCTCTAACACCGTAGTTTAGTCATGGAATATTTTGAGCAGATGACAGATGTCATATGGGACCAGCAGTTGCCTCACACTCGGAGAAGAGACTAAAGGTTGTCACAGTTTAATGTCTGAGCCAGGAGGATAAATCCTGTCCAAGAAATCAGGAAAACAGCACTAAGGGGTTCCTTCAGTGCACTTTAAATGAAAAATATGCCCGTGGATGCTTTTACTGTTATTTGTCAGTTTATGATGTTTAATGCATTTCAGACTTATCTTGTAATGCAGTGTGGAAATTTATTTTTACACCCGCTTTTCTGCTACCTGCCTTGTCTGTCTGTGTCAGTCGATGTCCAATATTTCCCATTACATCATTGCAATAAAGCCCAGAGAACACACACACACACACACACACACACACACACACACACACACACACACACACACACACACACACACACACACACACAACACACACACACACACACACACACACACACACACACACACACACACACACACACACACACACACACACACACCATGGTAGTAAAATTCCTCCAGTCAAGAACAACAATTGTCTCTCCTGTTATTCAAAACACAACATGTTTTATGGCTATAGTGCCTTCTGGATTTCTGAGGCTGCCATCAGTGTAGAAATCTGTATCTCTGCCTCCTCTGCGATGGATCTCTCCCAGTAAAACTGATGAATGGCCACTGCAAAATGGTGCGTTTAAAGA